AATAGGAAAGTAAAGAAGAAATCAATTGAGTATAACCGAGAATAAAAGATATATAAATTCAAATGTAATAGTTGAATGACAAGATGATGAGGAAGTCGGCTAGTCTAGTTGAAACCTGGCAAATCCAGATTTCAACCTGTCAAATTCTAGTTGATGATGTAATCGAACATTTTTTGTTGTTGTTGTAGTTCTGAAAGTTAACACACACATATAGAGAGAGAGATATGAGAGGGAGATAGAGAGAGAGAGAGACATGACATGTCTGTTCTTGAGTTACAACTGAAGTTGTATTCCACCCATGCCCCTATTGAACTCCGCTTCTCACATCTAGCCTCTGATGATAAGGTTACTTCCAAAGAAGGCAAATGTCGACATGAATGAAGGAAACTTGTCGCCTGCAGAAAGCCCATAATTTCCAGAAATGAATTATCTCATTCTTTTCTGTTTTCCTCTTTATCAAAGAAACTTCCATGTCTCTCATGTTTTCTCTCTCTCATTTGAATTGTCTCTGTGGAGATAGTCATGTCTGCATCTCTTCATTTCATATCGTGTTTAATCGTCTTTCTTTTCAATTCTCTTATTTTTTCATTCAATTTTGAGATAAATGAGAATATGTGAAAATGATTTAAATAAAAGATGATCAGAGGAAGAACAGAGAGAGAGAAAGAGATATAGTATGTATTTCATAGAGAGTTAGAGAGAGATAAAAGCTACAGAGAGATTGAGAGAGGGAGGTGGGGGGAAGTAAAAGACATTTCAAAATTTGAAAAATTCTTTTGCTTATCACATGCATTCCTCTCGTATTCATCAGATGATTTCCGATTTTAATTGAAATCTTCATTTGCATATGTCGCTTGAGGCACTAGTTTCTGCAGAAAACTCAGAAACAGTAGAAGCAGCAGTACATGATGATGATGAGGTTGATGAAGACGAAGAAGAAGCTACAGAGAGTTGTAGTCGTCATCTTCGTTGGCGTCGTCGTCTTCTTCTTCTTCTTTTATTATTTATTTGTTAGATGATGATGATGATGATGAGAATAGAAAAATCAAAAATCTTTCTTTCGATAACTAATTGATGTATAAAAGCTTCATAATGTTTCCTATCATATATAATCCAGTTTATTGAAAAAGCAGAAGACGACGAACAAATCATTGATCTTCAACTCTTTTTTTGTTGATGTGAATCCCTTCTCTCTCTTTCATTCTCTCTTTATTACTTAAGGGAATATTAAGTTGTTGCATATTCCTCTTCTCTCACATACTCCCACAGCTTACTCCACTTAAACAGTTCTCATTCTTCACTTCAGCTTCTTCTCACCTTTCATTCTTCACTAATTTCTTTTTTAATTTGCTCATTCTCTATCTCTCCACCTCTCTTTTCCAAGCTTCAATGTGTTTTCATCTTATTCTGGTTGTTTCTTTTTGAAAACTCTGTTAAGCAGATGTTTAGCTAGTTTTTCGATTTTAAAACAAAAAAACGAAAAGAGGGGAGGGGGGATGGGGTTAAGAAGATGTAGAGACTTATGATAAGATGAGAATGTCTTCAAGATATTCACTTCTTCTGCAACTTCTTCATCTTCATTGCTGTCATTTCTCAAATTCTGAATAATCTCAAACTACATCCAAATCAAACGTCATCCTCTTAATTATGTATAATTGTTTATTAGAAAAATGAACATTGGAACGTCATTTTTTCCTGCTTTCATGTCTCATTTGCATAATCGTCAAAGCTAATTAGCATAGTGCTCATGTAGCAAGCATGGCTCACTTCATTTGCTTCATTTACCTTCGCACAGAACGGTTGCATTCATCTAATCTTCATTTTATTCCTCACTACTTCATCTCTCTCTCTAACGCTCTCCTTCTCTCTTCTCTCTCTCTCACTATTTTTATTTTTTATCTTAATATGAAGCTCGTTTAGTACTTTAGTTGTTGCTTCTCATCCAGATTGAAGTCAATTGCAAACTCAGCCTTTACTATACTTTATTTGTTTATAATCAACATAATAGTAAACCAGTCTAAGATGTATTGCTGTCGAATAGCTTTTCATCTTTCCCTCCTTCTTTCTCTCTCTCTCAATGTCTTTCCCTCGTTATATCTCTTCATAGCCTTGTGTTTAGTCTCTCTTTTAGTCTCTATTGTGTGTTTGTTTTTCCTTAAAAAGGCCTTTCTATAACATCCATATACATACATGTACATACACACTGACACATACACACTGCCAATGACTCAAATCCAATCCTCATTCACCAAGTTCATGAACAGTTAGTTTCCATTGTCTTATTATGGAAGATGGTGCAAATTAGATTTCATTTGAGTGGGAAGAAGACAAAAAACGATGAAAAAATGGAATTTTTTCTTTTAATATCCTCTCTCTATCTCTCTTTCTCTCATCTCTCTATCCCTCCTTCTTCATAGTTCTGTGTTTCATTTAAGCTTCATCCATTTATAGCTATTCATTCAAGTGCTTTCAGAAAATTCCTTGAGATTTTCTCTCCTCACTATTATGATGAGAATATTAAAAAAATTGTTTGAAACTATCTGTATGAGTCGGACGGAAGAAGCTTCAGCTACGGCAGCTTAGAATCCTCCTTCTCCCCCAACCACCCAGATGAATGATTCTCTTATTTGATTTTTATTTAAATGCAATCTACTCTTATTTGATTTTCGTCTTTAGAAGCTTCTTTACCTTATTCAGCCATCATCACCTACACTATATTAATGCATCAATGCATATTTCGAGTTTGCAACGTTGAAATGGCTAATGAATGAGAAGGAAGACGAGAGAGAGGAGAGAGAAAGGAAAGTAGAGAGAGAGAGAGAACGGCTACATTCTTTTCTTCTTCTTTGTTTCTCCTTTAAATTATATAATGAATAGTTAAGTATAGACCTTTCTCTGATTTAACATTGTTCTGCCGTTGTACCGGAAAACAGGAAATGTCTTCCGGTCCGACAAGCCGTCCACGCGTCCTGTCTGAAATTAGATCTATCCAATTGAGAGCTACGTTGGAAAGTCATCTGTTTGCTTTTAGTAGGAGCGAACACTATCTTCAGAAGACTTTTGAAGAAGAGATGAGAAAAGAGAATGCCCTTGTCTTTTTGAATGAAAACGAGGAGGGAGACAGAGAGAAAACATAAAGCTTCAAACCTTATTTGGAAGGTTTCTTGTGTATTTATATCTCTGCTCCTCTCTCTCCCTCCCTCTGTTTAGCATCCTCTCTAACTCTTTCTTTTTGAGATTTTCGTTTGTTCTCGTCTTCATCTCAATACTCAAAAGGTGTGATCGTCTTTCTGTTTTCATATTTGAATGGGAACTGTTCATCTTGTCCATAGATGGCTTACATCTAGTTCCCTTTTATGTACATTGAGCTTCTTCTTCATTTTCCCGTTTTTTTTTCTTTTCAAATTTCAATAAAATTTGGACGTTTGAATGCTTGTGCTATCATCTGAAGACTTCTTCAGCTTTTCCATTCAATTTTCCCTTTTTTTGTCATTTTTTCAATGGCAATGCGGTTTTCGTTACTCACCTAATCTCCTTTCCATCACAGGTTCCGTCTAAACAAGCATACAACATCAGACGATTTTCAAACAGTTTCCATTTCTCTTTTTTTCTTTTCGCCCAAGTATCATCGGATTATCTATTGTATCATTCTCACTTGTGTCGGGTGATGTGCTATTGATGAGTGAGAAGGAATGTGTTGACAAACAGAATGGATACATCTTCATCTTACTATTAACCAAGATCTCTTTGAAAGCAGAGCAATCTGTTCAGTTCGCCTCTTGTTGCTGATTCTTAAAAAAGAAAATCATCTGGTTCATGTTCGTTCAAAGCTCTTTTCATTCTATTCTCATAAGTTATAGAGAGAGGGAGAGAGATAAAGAGATCTAGACGATAGAGAGAGAGGGTAACAGAGACAACGAGTGAATGATAGCATTTTCAGAAATGTTTTTGTTACAAACGAACTATTCGAAGAATAGTTTGTGATGAAAACAACTTGAAAGCTGAGGCGTAGCGAGCAAGACAACGTCTTTCTGCTCCAAGTCTCTGTTATCATGAGGAGAGTAAGATGGAGGGAGAGATAGAGAGAGAAATACTTCTTCTCTTTCTCTCAAATGTTTTCAAAAGTTGCTATGTGTGTATGTTACAAATCATAATAAATTGTAAATTTGGCTCTTTTCTTCTTTAATAATTCCTATTTTGCCACTTCACACTAGTGTCTCACTTTGTTCTTCCCTCTCTCTCTCTCCATCTCTCCCTCTCTCCCTCTTTCTCTCTGAATAATTCTGATGGCAACAAGCCATTGTCTGTTCCTAAGCTTTACCATTCAAAAGCTCAACTACTCACCAAAAATGAGAGAATGAATTGCTATATTTGGAAGACATGACTTCATTTTAAAACATTTTTTTCGGTGGCCACTACCGCCTCCTCATCCTCATCGTATCTGAGTACGTCATCTGCATGTTTCATTCTGCTCTTCATAAGGTATGACAAACTCTCTGAAAATACTTTGTAATCCGGTTTAGTTGAACAGAAGACATTTCCTGTTTGTTTCGTCACTTTCCTTTCACGTCTCTTCCAAGTTCATCATGAATCACAGCCAGAGAGAGAATGAGTGAGATATCATGTGATTGTGAGAGAGCAAGAGATGAAAAGCATTTTTTTTTCAAATTTTATATTTTACGACAATGAAGTAGACGATTGAAGACGTTGATATCTCCAGATGATGATGAAGATGATGATGTCTTGTAAATAAACTTTTCACACAAATCTTCTTACATCTGCTAGTGAAGAAGGTTCCTCCTCTCTCTCTCTTCATTCTCCTTTCATTCCGTTTCCCTTTCTCTTTGCAGCCATACTGCCTCTTAACTATTCATAATTCCATAACTCTTCATCAAACTGATTTCAATGTCTTCACTATCCTAACTATTACGTTTATTTATTATATTTTATTTCTTTTTTTTTTCAGCTGAACAACATATGTTACACGCACATGACGTCACATGCATCTAATATTTTTATTTTTTTGCTCATCTCTAGTATTTGCCAATCCACCGCCTCAGGGTATGTTTTTGATTTGAACGGAGAAACAATGAAACGAAGATGAAAACCAGGTTTAATCGACTTCTGTCACTTCACATTATATTTCATTAATTAGATTAAAACTGTATTTTATATGTAAATTGAATGTGTATCCATTACAGCTCCCCGTCCAGGAGTTGACTTTCTCGGTCCACTATGGTTACCACGCACTTATAAGATAACCTGTTGTCGTGGTGGATCACCAACAGCCGAAAATGCTAATGTAAGCTCTCCTAATGAATAACATCATTATCTATACTATATATTTAGTTAATTACTAATTGGACAGAAACTGTCTTAGACTATGCGTTTGATGAAAAAACCGAGACAGGCGAGAACCAACATTGTCGAGTCTACGAGGTAATGAATGAATAATACATGTTCGAAAGCTTTTATGAACTAAACGATTTTGAATTTTCTATGGATTCTTACGAATATTTGAAAAAAAAAGTCATTTTTAAATAGATATTTACCTGCTTGATATACGTTCGTTGCTTCGTCTTCATCCTCTTTCAACTGTTTGCTGCCTCACACGTATCTATCAAACATCAAAAAATGGTTTTTATAATGAAAAACTCAAAAACAACCGTTCAACGAAGTTCGCATGAGCTAAATGAAAAATGAAAGATTACGTGAACTTTCCACGTGATACGTTTGCAGGCAGATGAATAAGCTGACATGCTAATTTTCAGGGAACTTTTTTGTTATCGGCAACAGCTTTATTCAATTATAGTTTTCTTGGTTATGGCGTTCAATGTAAATGTCCGAGTAAGAATACTTTTCCGGTAATGGATGAGATTGAGATTTCTATTTGAAGATAGTCAAATACCTTTGGATAGACATTGTCGACAACTGCCTCCCTGTTTGAATAATGGCTATCGCTCACAGAGTGTTGGTGGATTATGTGCATGCACAGAGCCATACTTTGGAGAATTCTGTGAGAAGATGTGTGATCAAGGACAAACTCTCAAAGGTATAACAATGAAACACGTGTATGACATGAGAATATTAATTTCAGGTGTTGATGGTCGAAGCTATTGCAGTTGTTTGCCATTCTATCAAGGAGAACGGTGTACGGAGATGGTTTGTCTCAATGGAGGTGAGTTCACTTTCGAATGCGCTATGAATAAAATATTTTTAAAACAATTATTAAAGGAGTGAACATAAATGGAAGATGTTCTTGTCCACCAACCTATCTTGGCTATCATTGTGAAGTTGATTCCAATCGCACTGTGAACAATGCTCGATATAACCGTTACGGAGAAGTAGGATCTCATCTCGCTATCATTATTCAGTCTTCTACTCTTCCAGACTTCTGAAGTGTTCAGTCGTGATGTGTCCGGCACCGTTTTCAGCTTAGTTATGATTGTTGTACTTGTTGTTTCTATGTACTTACTGATGAAACACCGAATGCAGGTAGTTTCGTATACAATTTCTTTTGATCCGTATTCTTCAAGGTGCAGTCAAGGTTCTCTTCAAGTCGTCGAGAAGAGTTCTTGAGAGCGGCTGCCATGTGTGGAGGAGTACCCACACAAGGTAGAGCAGGCTTGAATGGTCGATTTGGACCTTTCATAGCCAATGGCATAGAAGGCCCACCACCCTACATAGCTCCTGGATCAGGTTTGTCTTAGACTGTGTGATGAATATTATATGAAAAAATAGTTTCTGAAGGCTCGCGTTCAAATGAAGTGCTTCCTCCATTGCCCACATATGAAGATGCTACCAAGGATCTTCCATTGAGGTAATTACATTAACATCATTGGCTGAATACTTGATTCATTATAGGCCGTGGATGCAACCAACAAATCAAAATGTTGAAGAAGTATCTTCAGCTGATGAGCCATCAAGCTCATCATCTCAATCAGCTGAGGAAGTGACAACATCATCAGAAGAGTCGACGAATACTTCTGATGAGACACCGGTAACAGAAGAAGGGCCAGCAGATACTCGGCTTGATCGCAAAGTAAGTTCTCGCCGTAGCGTCTGAAAAGCATTTTTTCTTATTTTTTCTTATTAAATTCTGTAATTCCTATATGTTGTGTATGCATGTGTATATGATTGATTGTAATAACTAGGGATAATTATGCGTATAGTTAACTATAGTTTTCTATTTCTACAAGCTTTCTCTCTCTTACTCCCTCGCTCTCTCTCTCTCTCTCTCAAAAGATTTCCTTAAAAAGCAACGAAAATTTAAATTTTCAAACTTGCCTCCTCCATCATCATTTGCTGATTTAGAGTATATAGCACCGCTAGAGTTTATGTGTTTTAAAGCGTTTTTCTTCTAATCGTCGGTCATCTAAATGCTCATTCTTGATCTTTCACATGGTTTTGTCTGTTGTTGAAATATAAAAAGTGTATGTATATACTATATAAAATATAAATTTAAATAAAAAAGTCTATTAGTTGTGAAGCTTCAGCTGGCTCAGTCATACCATCATACACCTTCTGACACACACACACACACGCACGTGGCAATATGTTCACGTGAAAACGTAATAGTAGAAGCATGTATGAGAGTATTCTATTTAAAGCCAAAAACATTATTATGTTCAAAGTTTATAAACTGTCATTAACTCAAATTGAATTCCGATTAATAAAAATATTGAGTGGATTCTTTAAAACCATAAACCGTTCTGGAGAGGAGTTGGTGTGTCATGAAATATCAGTTGTATACTACTTAAAGAGATTATTAACCATATAAAGACTTTTTGACATGATAAAAACTAAAGTGCTGATTATTGGTTTTCTTCATGAATCTTTATTAGACCCGTAAATACCACTCTGCTGGATCACATGTTTCTCTTTACAGGAGGCGGAGTCAATCATAAAAATAAATAGTATAAAATTGGATTGTAATACTCCGAGAATCTATTCTTATCAAACCCCAATTTCAATTCACTCACTCTTTTGAGCTTTGTCTTGAAATATATCTAAATAACTCTTTTTAGTCACAGGCTAATCCATCGTACAGAACCAAAGATGTATTTTGGAAAACCCGATGATGATTCCAGCTCCGATGGTTTCGGATCCATTGATTATCCATCCACCGAATCATCCGAATCATCCTAGTGAGACCAACAATTCTGGCTAATGTGCTCGATCTTTTTCAGGATCCATTGATTTTTCATCCACCGAAACATCCCATTCATTCTAGTGAGACGAACAATTCTGGCTAATGTGCCCGATATTTTCCATCTTACAACTCCTCACTACTCATCATGTTGGTGTTTTGTGGTTTGTTAATAAACCGTTTATATAGAACAAAAATTAGCGAAAAAAAGTATAAAAAATTAGAATTGGGGTTTGTGGGGGACATGTTTGCAGGTAATGTGATAACAGACACACGTGGCAATATGTTCACGTGAAAACGTAATAGTCGTTGTGTTGTGTTGTTTGTTGTGAAGCTTCAGCTGGCTCAGTCATACCATCATACACCTTCTGACACACACACACACACCTCCTCATCCCCCCCTCCACCTTCCTTTACCACCAACACGCAATCCTGTAATGTTTACAATAAAAGCAACAAAAAAATGTATTCAACCGCTCTGTGACGTCATGAGAACACGAATGGCATTGTTAGGACGTTTAACGTTGTGTCCACGTGTAAACAGACACACGTGGCAATATGTTCACGTGAAAACGTAATAGTAGAAGCATGTATGAGAGATATATTTAAAGCCAAAAACACATCATCTAACATCACATACATGTTTAACATGTCATTGCAATTTGACAAAAAAACTAAAATAGTCTCTTATGAGTGGGTGGTTTTTCCACTTCTCAAAGCTTTCAGTTAATTTTTTTTTCTTTTTGCTGACGATCATAAAGGATTAAGCCTAACGCACGTACAGTAAGCTTCAACTCAAATAATGTAAGTGATTGTAACGACATGGTGAGTCGTTTGATCGTATTAACTCCTAGTTGCTATTCTAACTTTTTCAGATTTTTTTTCTGTTCTCTCTTGTATTCAGTTGTATAGGTTGCCAATAAATGAATAGTTCGTATATAGCTGTTAGCTTCTTCTTGTTAGACGTCTTGTCTGTCCTGAACTTTTTGATTTATGAAAGGTCAATGAAGCTCACGCTGCTCCTCGAAAAGCTTCTCCTTTACAACCTTTTCCTTCTTTCCAGCTGCTCTCTCTCCCAATCTCTATCGTAGTTGTCATTCACAGACGTTTATCTATTGCAATTAAATCCATAAAAACTGTATGGCAAAGAACAAAAAAAACGTTTTAAGCTCAAAATGTAAAATCAGAAAAAGTTTATGTGAATTGGAGCTCACATAGCCTCCAATTGACAAATGACAATTCGTGATCATGTCGACAGTCTTACTTTACACTCAAATCACGCAAATCATTTCTCGTCTGAGAATTATTTTCCACAGCTTCTTCTATCTTTCTTATATGAAAATGTATTTGTTGAGAATTGAAAACAATCCCAGAGCTAACTTTTGCATACAATGAGTGAGTCTCGTATGTGTGAGAGTGAGAGCGTATGTGTGTATGTGTGTATAGACGTCTTGAATGTGACTTATCCAGAAAATCTTCTTTTTCATTGTTTTTGCCAACTGTTTGATCCTAAACAGATGTCTTGAACATTTCAAAGTTAGAAGATTAACGATAAGAAATATTATTATCAAAATGGAGACACATTCACACGAAGTTCAGATAGAAGAACATCGACGTCCTGATAATCACTTGTACTTTTACTCTTCCAGGTCCCCCCTCCCTTCCCTCTCCTTCTTTCTCTTCCATCCCTATCCAACAACCTCTTCTTCTTCTTCTTCTTCTTCATTTCCATCTTCTATAGTAACAGACCCTCTGAAGCAGTATGTACAGTAATCAGATGATTTTTGAATGAAATATGTGAATCATCTTATTCATTTTTCATTTTTTATTTGTTGAATTTGATTAGGAAACGAAAATCTTTTGAGTAAACTGTTTATTCTAATCGCATTGTGCAACACACGAATGATCATTGTCATCACAATAAAATGACCAAAATTCTCTTCAAAAAAAGTGTTTTCATTTCAATTCGCCCAACCCTCTCTCTCTCTCTCTCTTTCCCTTACTCTCTTTTCTCTCTCTTGTGGTATACCTTCACCTAGTGTTTGAGACGGAGCTCCTGGCAGAACCATGTTGATCCTGGTTCATCCTGGTTCAACAGCAATTTGTAAACAAAAGTTTGGAAGAGAACAAACAATTTTCAAAAAAAAAAAAATCATAATCTACACATGTAATCAGAAGAGATGATGAACAAGCGAAATGAGGAATATGATGTGAATGGAGGTCAGTAAGGATGAACACAACCGTGCCAGACGTCATCATGTTTGAAAATGAACTTTCATTTTTGGCGAAAAAACGGCTCAGAACGACAATTTGAATCTTTACGCTCCTTTTTTGTTTCCAAAAAAGCCATTGTGACTATTTAACAGGAGAAGAGTATGAGATTACGATCTGCTGCAACACACATCTGTCTCACTTTGACTTCTTTTATTAAGTTTTGAGAAAAAAATAAAAGAAAAACACTGTTCATCTCCATATCTCCCTAATACTCTCCCACCACTCATTCCCTCAATTTCGTGAAGATTTTGAGATTTTCAGACTTTTTTTTCCAAAAAAAAGACTGATGGAAAACAAGAAAAGCGTTGAATCCTTTCGTATCCAACATCGTCTATCTGCTGAAGTTGACTTCAATTAATCAGAAAAGCCAACCACTCCTCCTGGCTCTCCACAATCGATTGATATCCAACAAATTACTGCTATATCATCTAATTTTCTCTTTTTATTTAAAAAAAAATTAATTTCAATCCTAATGCTTTGAGAAGAGGATTCTCTCTCTCTATCTCTCTCTATCTCTTTATCTGCTACTTCCTCTCTTTGACTCTTCATCTTCACACTCTTCTCATTGACCAAAAGCGTTTTTCATAACTTCACATCTACCGTAACCAATGGAAAAGCGTTAGAACAAAAGGAAAACTCATTTCTTCGCTTCTTTCAAGTTGCTGTCATCTCTTCTTCTCCCTGACCAACTTATCATTCTTTAATTGAATTTTGGAAAAAAGGCTTTAGTGCTGTAAAATGCTTTGAATTGAAACACCAACAACTTCTAAGTTTGGGGAGAATGAGAGGAAGTGAGATTGAGAATGACAGAGAGAAAGAGAGAAAGAAGTGAGCCATATTCGGCTACTTCCTCAAATCTTCCTTTTTTGGTTAAAATGTAGTAGGAGTATGTGTTTGGCACTTCACCCACACTGTCCTCTCTTTCTCTCTCTCTCTCTCTTTATCATCTTTGCCACCTCCTCACCCTCTCTCCTCCTAATCTTTGCAAATTCATTTTCGTTCCTTTTTCACTTCATTTTTTACGCAGCACCTGCACAATCTGTTCCGTCTGAGGAACGCGATTAATCACAGAATTGCTATTGATCTTTTCAATATCAACTATGATTTGTTACATTTATCAATCGACTTTTATATTTTTTGATTTCGCTCAACATATTGGAAGAGACGATTACGAACCAAAACAAACTGGCTGCGGTCATTTTCTTTGTTAATTTCCGGAAATATGGGCATACGTATCTGAACCATGGATGGATGGTTATGCTTATGTGCTACCATGCTACCACGTGATGAACTGAATTGAAAAAATTGTTTTCTCAGAATCTTCATCCGTTCTTTTGATGTTTTTTTTTCGGTCATCGCCTGTCCTTCTCATCTTTTCTTTTGCAACCTGTAAATACTCCCATTTATCTCTTCAAGCTTCTTCTTTTAATTCATCTGACTCCACCCCATCAATCGATTACAACTGATCGACACCCCAATTTATCAGACGAGGACGAGAAGAATAAGAAGAAGAAGAGCCAGTGGAATAACACGATGAAGAAGAAGCAATCTTTTTCATCTCAATGTCCTTCTTCTTTTCTTATTGTTCATTCGTATTGTTCTTTCTGTTCTTTTAATCTTTTTGTCTGAAAATCTTAACAACAAGAAACATTTCTCCCTCTCTCTCTTTCTTCCTCTTCCTCTTTTTCCCATACTCCCTGTCTTCCCCTCTCTCTCTCCTTTACCCGTCACAAAAAAAGAGAAAGAGAGAGCAGTCTGTATGAAAAAAAAGGTTTTTTCTTCCTTTTACTAGTTATGTTATCCTACCTCTCCCTCTTCCTTCCTTCTTCTCCACTCATTCTACAGTTCAAATGGGAGGTGATCTCGAACGCTTCCCTCAGACAGCCACACACACTCACATTCAGAATAACCATTAGTGGAATACATACTCCGACACTATGTCTGATTCTCCTTTACTACCCAAGAAGAAGTTTAGTTTTCAATTATTTTCGCCTCATTTGCAACAGAGTCTTTCCTTTTTCGGAAAAATTTTTCATTCATACTTGAACAAACGACTATTTTATTCGTTCATCACAAAAAAAGGAGAGGAAACGAAGACAAAACGAGGAAAGGAAAGGGGGGGGGAGTATGGAGAAGACAAGTAAAGGGCGGAAGGTGAGGAGTTCCATATAAGCTCATAGAGACTTCCCTCATTCATATCACTTCATTCTCTCTCTCTGTCTTGTTCATCTCTCCCCATATTCTTTCCTTTTATTTTTTTCTTAACATAAAATGTAATCTTAAATATAGAGTTGTATTGGTTTGGAAATGTTTTTGATGAAAAAGAGATGGCGTGTTCCGATTAACTTGTCTGTCCCTGTTTTTCCACCCACCTACATCAGCCTTTTACTAATTGATATCCCCTATCCTGCTAAATCTTCTTTTAAAGCCTTTACAAGTTCTTTTTCAACATTTTGTAAGCTTTTCGAATATGTCAGAGAAGCTTTCTTACGATTTTGCTAGTTTTTGCTTTAACTTGTCATCACAGCTTTATATATCACGTGCGATCATGGGAATTACTTTGGCTGTTCTAATGAGATCATGGTTCGCTCACCTTTTGACTGAAAAATATTTTAAAAAAACGTTTTCAAGCGATTAAACATCTCAAAGAGAGAAAGAGAGAGATAGAGAGAGGGAGAGAGTGCTTCAAGCTAACACTTTGATTTGATGACGGAATTGTATTTTGTATGCTCATATTAATATCGCAACACAACAAAAGTCAATATGTTTCATTCCGCTGCCCAATCGCTTTGCAGATGAGACCGAAAGACTTTCTCGTCTCTGCCAAGTCGAAGAATGTCTTTTTTTCAAAGTGCATTTTGAAGATTTGTTTCCATGAAATGAAGAAAAGCCGCCTGTCAACGTGGTCTTGGCCACTATGTTTTAATTTTTCTGATGTCTCAGCATCTATGTTACCGTCTATTTCTTTCCATCTCATCGGCTTCTGCGATGATTTCCGCTTTTTCGTGCTCCTTTCTCTGGTTTTCATATCCAACATCACATTTCTTCTTTTTCACGAACTGTCTCCTTACTCTTTGAGCTGCTATCCTAGCTATCCTTATTGAGATGTCCTCCATCACGTGAATATCCAGGAGACTTTGCTTTGACAAAACCTCCGAATACATAGCCTCGTCAGCTCTTTTTGTTCGTTTCTTTTAGATCGGGTTTCGTGGAGTCAGCTGCAGCTACGGGCTACTTTTCTCTGACTTCTTTGCAAACGAGAAGAAGCGACCCAGCTTGGTAGTTATTTACAGCCGCTCTTCTTATCCCCTTTTCATTTTCTGTTTCATCTTCCTCCTTACTACCTCTTTCCTTTTACGTGACTGCTCGTAAAAGATAATCACAGCTCAGTTCTGTCTTTCTCACGGTTTACTCTTTGAGCAACGACTGACAGTACATGTGTAGATGTTGTTCAGAGTCGAAGGGAGAGAGAGAGAGAGGAACTGAAAAAAGATTGAGATGACAGCGAGTAGTGTAAGCCACAAATTGACAAGAGAAAGACCTCGGCTTGAACTATACTTCCACATTCTACAACATCATCTCCTTTTGAATCTTGGATGAGAGTGATATCGAGAGATGAAAAAAGTGTTGTCTGTACACATGTGGTTCCTCTGTTGCAACATTAGATTTTCAAGTTTAGCAGCCGCTCCATTTCATTAGCAGCCAATCCTGACGTCATTTTGTGATTAGTTGCCACGGCGCAGATGTCCAGCAGAAATTTTGAGAGCCTGAATTATGTTCGAACCTAAAAAAAGGTATCCGTTTGTGAAAGATAATTTTAAAATGTTGACGTCATATTGGCTGTTCAACATTATACGGAAACTATCGTCCAGTCTCGTTTAGTGCATCGCCTTTAATCATGTTCGTCCATGAATGACGTACTCTCCAGACGGACCTCCCCCTCATAGAAGAAACCAAATCGCTTCATCCTCTCACCAGCCTACACATATTATAGCTAACTACTATTGTCTCTTACAATGCCTTATATAAGCAGCTCATTCTGTGTGAACGGAGTAATGAGGTTTTTGCAGGAGCTCGAATTCATCAAACCCTTTTCCTCCCTTCCTCCCTCTTTCAGCATCCTCTGTTTTGGATCTCTCACATTGCCCATCTTGTTGATAAACATCCTGAACTGGTTAACTATTTTTTTTCTAAACTTATTTGTGATACAAGTGTGTGGAATGGCTGGAATGTGTCGGCAATCTTCTAAGCTTAGATACTTTTGCCTTTGTCTTGAAGAAGAAATTCGGAAGCGGATCATTTACTTTCACCTCTGGTCCAACTGTTCTACTATGATGATGAGAGCAGTGAAACATGATGTTTCCCTTAGTTAATCGTTCATCAATATGCTAATTTGACCTCTCGACGTATACGTGGGTCACGTGAAATGATCGAAATGTAAAAATCATTGTTGAATCACGAGCGCGTGAGAATCGGTTGTTCCTTCTTTTCTCTTTTTATTTTTCTTTCATCTTCTTCGAACGCCAACGGTTGCATTCCTTATACAGATCACATTCAAGCGATAGTTCATGATATTTGCGGTCAGTTGCTTGACTATTAAACAAGAAATTAGTTTATTTCATATCAGATGACAGTCAATTTGGGATGTTTTGAATGAGCGAGCACATTAGACTTAAAAATAGAAAAAAATGAAAAGAGAATCATTGAAAATGACTGTAAATGACCTTTTCGCATTCATTTCCTATTCCTCTATATACACGCTTATCCGCACACCATTTACAGGCGCCAGTTCTATGACACAAAAAATGTCTGAATATGGTCATTAAACTCATTTGCATACGGTAATATACTTATTAACTATATGAATGTATCCTCTATTTACATTCTAGAGAATTCTGGTCTTTTCTCTTTTCCTTTTTCTTTTTTTTTTATTTCTGTTCTTCGATCAGACACCGAAACGAATTGAACTGTCTCGTCTCGTGCTTGTGTAATCTATCCAAAACGTATTTTCTTCTCTATTTTTAACCAAACTCCGTTAAGTCAAATCAAAAAAAGGAAATTCATTTTTGTTTTTCTTTTCCTTCTGCTAGTTGCCTTTCAACCTTTTCTCTCTTTTCCTTTGAAATTACAAAACTTACTCAAACTTGTCATTCGTGGTCGGTCTTCTCCTTCCAAGCTATATCCAATATCCCTTTGAACCTGCCGCTCTCAACAAACGCCTCACAAACTATGTGTGTGTTTTGACTTAGAAAAAGCTTTTATTTTACTTGTTTATTCACAACATCTCTCACATCTCACTTGTGCATTACCGAAAAAACCTAATTCGCTACTTTCTTCTTCTGCATGCGAAGCGTTTTCTTGTTCCACTTCTTCTTCATCTGAATGTTCTGTTGGTTCGGATGGCAGTCATCGGGAAAGTTTACAACCAAAAAAAAATCCCCTTGGGCGTTTTTGCGTTTCATGCTGACCTCCAAACAATCATCCACTTTATCTTGCAAAAGCAACATCTCTTCCGAACGAATTCATCTTTATAATTTATGGTTCTTCTCTGATTTGATAATCTTCCTGAAGCTAGTGGTTTGAGTTGCAAAAAGTTAGAAAAAAAAAGCTTCTGATTACTAGTAGCCATATGGATCCATCTTTGTCTTCCATGGATGGAGAGGCAAGTAAAGAGTCGCCTACTCTTATGAAGGGCAAAATGACTTTCCCATCAATTTTTTTTGTCGTTCTCTCTTCTATTTTTCTTTTGTACTCCATATTATAAAGTCATTGAGATGTAACCTTCGAATTGCTTTGTTTCAGTCGAGTGTCTCGTCCGTGATGCGGTTATGAGCTATTTCAACCGTCACATCAACATCCTCATGTGTGCTAATCTTAGTACAGTATGATATTCTGCCCCCTACGACTGATTATTCTGCTCGTCTGCTCGCTGATTTTCTTCTCTTCACCCCCATCAATATATTGTCTTGTATTGACGCCAAACGAAAAAATGATCATAAAAAAAGGTAAGCAAGTTGTTTATGTATCCTAATCTGACCATCTATATGAGTTAAGGTCTATTGCAAAAGCTTGGCTTAACGGAAAAGCCTATTCAAAGTGCACCTGTACTGCCCATCCCTGATCATATGTGGCAGTTCTACAGAGATGTAGTTGATGAAGAAAATGATTCCGATTGGATCCGCCATTACTATCCTACAGTAAGTTTCTTCATTCATCTATGCCCCCTCACTCTATGTCAAGTTCATGAAACGTACTCTTATCATTTTGATTTCAGAAAATTATTGAAGAAAATTCTGGTTTATTAATGTCCTATAATCTGTCATTATCAGTACAACATGAAAACCAGTTAGAAGCCATAAGAAAGGCTGAGCTTAAAATAAAACTGCAATCTAACAATCAGCAGCAGACGAGCAGGCATGTTAACCTGTTTGTTCTTACCAAAAATGGAGCTGTGAGTTCATTGGTCATTCTAGTGGTCATTCAAATGCTTTGTTCCAGAAACACCGATTACTCGACTCAAGGCCGATCGAACCCTCGTCAGGGACTGACAATTCGGAGCAAGTCAGATATATGGACCTGGATCTGACTGATGTCTTGTCGACTTCAACTCCAAGCACGGTGAGCTCAATTTGAATGGCTATTCGATGAACTTATTGAGTACATTATAGTTAGACTTGCTGTTGGAGCTTCCTCCAGAGACATTTCTCTATTCCACACCCTCTCACTCCATATCTAGCATTCCGTACTCAAAAACTCAAAGTGCGGCTCTTGTTATTCAAAGGTTAGTTGTAATATACCTCGTGGAAAGAAGCTTTTTGTGTTTCAGTGAACTTAGAGATCCATCTCGAGTTCGACGGAAAAGAACTGCCCGAAATGGGCGACGAAAAGGACGGAAGCAGCATCGTGTAGCAATGGAGAGTGGCTTATGCCAAAAGAGAGAGCTATACGTGGATTTTGAAGAATTAAACTGGCAAGACTGGATTTTAGCGCCAAGTATAAAATATTTCGCTTGTCGTTCTTCAACTGTTTCTTTTTCAGAAGGATATGAGGCTGGTCAATGCGTGGGAAACTGTCCAAGCCCAATGCCTTCTCATCTTAACGCTACCAATCATGCCATAATTCAAGCATTAATCCATTCTCTTAATCCACAGGTGAAAATTGTCTTTAAGATTCTTCATAAACTAAGGTGTTCAGGTTCCACCACCCAGTTGTGTTCCGACGGAAACGAAACCTCTTTCAATTCTGTATATGGACGTAGAAAATAGGTTCGTAGTTTACTCATTTCCCATTTCCATCTTACTCGTTCTCTTTCAGGATCGTAATAAAAACTTATCAAGGTATGCGGGTCGAAGCTTGCGGGTGTGGTTAACGTAAAACACAAAAAAAACACAGAAGAACTCTTTCTTACCTAGGATGTCCTTTAAAAGCAAAGTGGTTAAAGCAAAACCAAACTTCTCTGAAACCATTAGGATAGTCAAAGACTATTGTCGTTCTAAAACCGTTGCCTTCTTCCTTGCCATTCACTAGTTCACTTAACGGGTTGACTTATTCCATTATCAATTTATTATTTTATTAATTGAATTGAAATATTAGAACAATATGACAAAATTTCTCAGACACTCGTTCTCACACCATGTCTCTTTCGTTATATAGTTGACTGAAAGCTTCCCCAAAAAATTATTTTCAACTTTTCTTCTCCTCAACTTCATGATTTTCTATATTTGGAAGTTCGCATGCATGATCTCACTGATAGTTTCTATAGACATCTTCTCTTTACTCAACAAACTTCTATCCACCTTCTTCTTCTTCTTCTATTATTTCGATTTGTGCCCAATCTTCATGTAATTCTTATTGTCTCTCACATCTTCCATATTTTTACGGATGCGCACTAGAAGAACGCTTCATCTTTCAGTTTTCTTCTTATCAATTTATTTGTTTGTATTATGAATCGATCATTCTTTGCTAATTTTTATAAAATTATAATTATTATTAAAAGTATTTGACAACACTTGTTATGTACTGACATTCAAGGAAATCAATTGCGATACGGAAGTTACCTATACCAGTCGACAGACTGACATCACTTCCGACTGCTGATTTCTTGAGCATCAAATGATGACGTTTTGGAAGAGTCAAACGAGAGATAAGCAGGAAGAAAAGCTTCAACTAGATCGTTGTAAGATTCTGGCGGCAAAAGCTTTTGAAATTTGATACTTTACCTGATCATCTATTGATGATCTCAGGTGCGGCGACGTGAACAAGACAGGATGCAAAACAAATGATCTTCTTGCTTGAGGTCAAACGAGGCATCGATCAAATGACTCAATACTATTTTTAAAATGTCAAAAAACAATAATGGCTTTTGCCATGTCAGACTGTACTGGTTTTACAATAATAAGCATACGTCATTATGTCGATGTGGATATACTTTCCACCACCGTCATTTACAACATTTCATTGATAGCGAACGGTTGCATTCCATGTATTCCCCTACCTCCACCGTAGGCGAGAACATCCAATTGAGAACATGAATGATGTATAATCTTGATATTTAGGAAAGTTCTTGTCAATGTGTTATCTAATCTCATTATCATATTTTCGATTATTTTATTATTTTATAGCTCTTCAAATGTTGAAAACACTAAAAACTGTTTCGAAAATTTCTTCTCGTTAGTTAAATTAATTCGCTTCTCGAACATTCCTTTAGGAAAAAACGAAAACATTTGAGAATCAACATTACAACAAATCCTTGCAGATCACAGAACCTTCTGATTCGAAAAAAATTGAAAATTATAAAAATCTCTGAAAAAACGGATATACTTTGCTATCACTTAGTTACCGCTCAAACTATTCAAGAAGTTTATTATTTGAATATCGTCAGAGATTGTAGAGAAGGCTTCGCAATGAAGAACTGTTTAGAAATTTTTAATTTTGAATGTCGTTGGGGGAAGTTAGAGCCTTCAGAAGTTTGATGGTCTCAGAAAATCCACTTTTGAATTTGGCGGGCTCGACTTGGACGATATTTTTTGGAACCTTGGCGAGCCGGCCAGAATCGAAAAAATTGCTTACTTAGCATTAGAACCCTAACCTAGAGAGTCCGGGTCTTACATGGGGGCCGAACCACTTGTTACATATTAGTTTCAGTTGATAGCACATATTCTCACTTGTTTGGAAGCTATGAACGCTAACTTACAAAAGTTAGAGGTAAGCGTTTTCCTCGATAGTACTTTCGAGAAGATAGTCGATACAATTCAACGAGAAGTGAGAGATGTTATTATACGAACAGATCACTTGCCATTACTAGCGGTCGTGCGCACACAGTCACCATCGAATAGGTTACTACGTTGGGTTTTACAATTTCGAAAATACGATCTTAGAATTGAATACATCAAAGGCGTTTTAAATGTGGTAGCAGACGCACTAAGCCGGGGAGCAGCAGAAGCTGAGCACCCAGGGCCGAGCGACACTGCTCACCTGACAGAAGACATGATAGTCGCTTCAATAGCAGAAATTTCAGTAGCTAAATGGTTGGATGTATTGAAAGAGGACGAAATCTTCAAACCGATTATAATAGAGCTTGAGAAAGGAAATATGCAATTCGTTCGAAAAAGCGATTTGAGTGAAGCCTACGCGATCATCAACAACGCGTTGTGTAAGATTGACAGAGACGGGAACAAGAGAATAGTCGTGCCCCGTGAGAATAGAGAAAAGGTGATGGAGACATTGCACAACAATGTATGGGTTGGTCATTTTGGTCCAAAGAAGCTCTTGACCACGATTCGAATGCGATATTTTTGGCCAGGTATGGCAGCAGATGTATTACGTTGGCACAAGACATGCGTCTCGTGTTATCTCAACAACTATAACAAAGATAACACAACACCCTTACAACCCATTGTAGCAGCACGGCCGTTTGAAGTAGTAGGAATGGATCTTCTAGACCTAAATAAGTCGGATAAAGGGTTCAGATACTGTCTCACAGTCGTCGACTATTTTTCAAAATGGACTGAGCTGTATCCGTTAAGAAGCAAAGAGGCAGACGAAGTGTTGAAAGCATTTACGGAGCGATGGATAGGGTATGGATGTAGGATAACCAAAAAAATTATATCCGACAATGGATCAGAATTTGCGAGAAGGCTTCGCAATGAAGAATTGTTCAGAAATTTTTGAATTTGAATGTCGTTGGAGGAAGTTAGAGCCTTCTGAAGTTTGATGGCTCAGAAAATCCACTTTTGAATTTGGCGGTCTCGACTTGGACGACATTTTTTGGAACCTTGGCGAGCCGTCCAGAATCGGAAAAATGAAATTCTGTCCGATCCTTCTCATTTTTGGATATATTGTAGAGAAGGCTTCGCAATGAAGAACTGTTTAAAAATTTTTGAATTTGGTTGTCGTTGGAGGAAGTTAGAGCCTTCAGAAGTTTGATGGTGCTTTCCCTTTTCATAGATGTCTTCGTCGCTATCCTCAAAAAACCAGGAATTTAAGATGTCAGCACCTTTTTTTTTCTAAATTTCTCAAACTGAGTAGTCGATCTCATTATCATATCATGCATAATGTTTAACTCTTTCCGCATCTCATTTCTCTAGACTCCCTCAGGATTCTTATCAGACTCAATGATACAGAGCTTTCTGTCTCTGCCTTAGAAACAAAGCTGTCTTTGGTACCTGATCTTCACTTCCGCATGAGCCGGCGATCGTGCATTAGCGAGTCCTATGTAAAACATCACGAAAAATTACAGGCACAACCTATTTGTCGGGAATGCGATGTAAGAGAACAGTTTAGAGTACCAGTCTCTCTGTTTTTTCATCTCCGAAATGTTGAGCTTTAACTTCTTTCATATATCACTGATTCTTTTTTAAGTTTTACAGATTTACCTTGGTTTCCATTAATTATGAAACGGCAAACACATCTGTCGTGCCTGAATACCTCAAAGCAACCTGTTGCTATTTCGCATATTGCTTTCAGCGATTCAATTGACGTATTTCGTTCAAAATATGAACGATGAAATCAGTTTCGAGAACTCTCTCCGTCAATCGTTGTCCCCTACTAAGCACGTAGACGGTTTGAACGTACCTCAGATGCCTCTCTATGTTGTGATCATGTACTGCTTATCCCTTTTTGGGTTCTTCATCATCTTCTTCTCATTCTCTCTTCTCATCTTCGTTCCAACCAAGCTCAACAACTTCACACGCTTTGTGATCCATGGGCATGATTTCACGTGAGTTCACAATTTCAATCTTTCATCATCGTTCAAGCAGATCTGCCATAACACAGCTCTACCTAACATTGGGGGCTACACCGACTTTCGTTTTTCCATGTGCGGCTGGCTACGTAAATGGCTTCATGTCTAATTACGGAATGAGACCTTTGGATCAATTGGGTATTGAAGTAACATTGATCACTAGTACTCACTCTTGAGAAAAGTATAGATAGCGTTTATTCATTTCAGTCAGTAAATCCTTCACTCTGCTTCTCACTATCAATCGAGTTTTCGCTATAAATGCATGGATGAAGAGACATGAAAACCTAATTCTGATCATATTCTTCGCTCAGCTGATTGGCCAAGTCGTTTTTCTGTTGATCACTGGCTTCAACATGAAAGACGGTGGAGAAGAAGCACGGCAGGCTTGTCTTGAGGTTTGTATCTTTTTCATTCATTGAAACAGTCTTTCCAGATAATCACCTATGAATATCCTAAAGTGATGTATACTTCTCGAGGATTTAATATGTCCCTCCAAGATGAGAACAGTTTGTTCACTTCTTTAATTATAGGACTAGCTTCTGCACTTTACCTGATCACTGAAATTGTCTGTGTTTCCATTCTCATCCAGAGCATAAGAGAACAGGCCAAGTCATCGCAGTCCACTCAGTTCTTAGCGAATCAACGTAGAATTACCTCTGGGATTCTTTACTTCGTAAGCTTCTTCTCTTCTACTGAGACCGAAGTGATTCAGATGATTTTGGAATTTTTTGGTTTATTGTGTCCAACTATGATTATCAGTGGATGTATTATCTTCAAAGTGGGTAATACGGGTAAGAGTTTGCACACTGACTTTTAAATTCGACTATTTCAGCTATTTCTTATTGTTCCTACATCGCTCAGTGCATCTATCCTATATTTGGTCCATACTATGTCCTCATGTCCAACAGAGATTACAGGAACAAAGTGAAAGGGATACTTAGAAAAGGTTGGTTTTAAGTTTACTCTGTTGATGTGTATTTCTCGTTATGAGTAGATCAAGCTGATACGAAACATCTTTCAGCTCAGGAAGTAGGATCACGTACGTTGAGCATTTGAGAATATCTGTTCCTGGAACGTTTGTTCATCTAGTCTATAGACTGGATTTTATTTGATTGCGAAACACAGTT